ATAAAAAAAATTATGCAATCTCATAATCCTAAGATGAATGTGATGCCTGTTATATGAAAAAGAGGGGCGCGGGTGATGAATTGTCAGGAAATAATGATAAGGAATTTTTTTCATCATACCAGCTTTATCTTGCTATCATGCATCGATGCAGAGTCATCGACTGCAATTAGGATCTGGTAGTTATGCTGCGACAGTTTGGTGCGACGCAACCAGATCTTATCTTTCCTGAACCCGCTTGCGATGAATGCGACCAAACGACGCATATTTAGTCGTTTGCCGGTCCGATAGTCACCTCTGAAATTTCACACAATTTTAAATCTTTCAAAAAATCCTTCTAGTTATACACCTTCTTCAGCCTCTTAAAAATAAACCCAGTGGCAAATATATCTTGTTCTTCCCCTTATCACTACTAATAATTAGCAGTCCACCATGTCATAAAGGCCGTTTGAAATGTGGCCCTCAATATTTCAGCAGTGCATCCAAAAGCAACTGCATACGAACACCATGCCATTAGGTGCAAGCTAATTCCATTGCATATTAACATCACAACAAAAATGGGCGTATTTTAAGTGCATCCATATCTTGAGCGTACTTTAAGGGCACGCTAAATTGTATACCCTAACTTATTTTTTTATTTTAATCAATAAAGTCGAATTCAAAACTCCCCTACGTGCACCCGCCATAAGAAATAGGAACAATCAAAAATAGACTTATCGGTAGCACGCACTGTTGGCAAGACTGCCAAATGATTTCTTTTCCATGGTTTTTTTGCAAACAAACCAACGATAGCTTTGGTTCCTAGCATGCACCAGTACTAATTTTCGGTAAAAACGAATGAGAAAATCACGGGAAGATTGGCTGTCCTTCTATGGCAGTTGAATCTTTATCTCCAACATGACAGCATTGCTTCTCGCCACTGTGCCATAGCGTTGAAAACTGCTGGTAATGAAAAATAAAGGACTTTTAGTTCTCTTACTCAAGCCTTGAAGCCAATGTTGGTTCGATTATCGTGCGAAGATTTTCCGCAAGCTCTGCTGCCAATACTGAAACCGAATCAGCAATTTTGTTCCATCGCTGTTCAACATCCGCTCTGGCCGGTTTCGTCTCACTAACGTCCAGTGCTACAATATCTTCCAGATCCAGTGAGGTCGACGGTTTAGCCTTAAAAAAACCAAGACATATTTCGTCATAACAAGTAAAACATCGGCTGCAGTGGAGAACAAGTTAAATGTTATACATTTTCATCGGACTGTAAAAAAATGCTAGGCCCAT